TTTAGGCTGTTCTTGTGTACTCAATACCCTACTGTACATGTCTTTAGACAGTCTTGTCCTTTTGTGTCATTTTCAGTAGCCACTGACTCTGTCCATGGGGGGCTGGAACCCGGCCTCTACAGGTATAGGAGGTTCTTGTTGGTTTCTGAGGACGGCAGGTTTTTCTGGTTCACATGCATTTGATGCAGCCTCAATGAAGTACCCATTGTTCTGTTAACTAAATATCACACTGTATTTGCAAAATCCTACACTTGTTTTGAAAATAAAACCTGGGTCCCAGCATCCTATCCATACCTGGAGATGGGCAGGGAAGTGGGTGTGAGTGGCCCTGCTGGGCTGGCCTGCACCCTGTCTCCCCCCCCACCCCCGCCCTGCCTCCACCTCACCTGAGGGGACACCAGCTTCGACCAATCAGGTTTGAGATAGTAGATGATGCCGTCCAAGGCGCCAGGCAGCAGCACTCCACGCACCAGCAGCACAATGAGGACCACGTAGGGGAATGTAGCGGTGAAGTACACGATCTGGGGGGCCAGGCTGCTCAGAGGGGCCCTGCAGCACCCACCTCCCACTTTGAGGCCCCGGCCTGAGCAGGACCACCAGGCAGACCATGGTCCCCGGCTACTGGACAGTATGTTCAGAGGTAGGGAGGGAGGCTGGCCAACAGCGCCCCCCTTCTACTCCTCAGGGCCATGGCTCCTCCCAAAGGAAGCTGGGTGCTCAGCTGGAGCACCAACAGCCCCACGGCAAGCACAGGTCAGTTGCAGAGGGAGGGGAGAGGCAGGGCCCTCCCCAGGCAGGGAGTGGGACATCAGCATGGAGGCAGGTCCAATGCTTCCCGTGCCACCAACTCCAGGTCATCCTCTGTGGAGAGGCGGGGTCCTAGGTAGTTGGGATTAGAAGTGGGCCAGCCAGAGACAGAGGCAAGAGCAAGACGGTCGACAAAGGCCTCTGCCTCCCATCCAAGTGGGGCCAACCAGCTCAGCAGGTTGGCCCTCGGCACACTGTCTATAACGTGTCTGTTCACACATTTGTCTCCCCAACCTGACAGGGAGCCCCTGAGTGAGGGCATGTGTCTTGCCTCCCCCCGGGGTCCCCAGGGCCAGAGAGGCAGGCGAGAGAGACAGCCACAGACCAGGTCCACCCAGACCATCAAAACAGACTCAGATAGTGAGTGAGAAACAGGCAGAAATGGGGGTGGGGGTAGGGGCAGGCGCAGGGATGGGGTTGTCCGACACAGGGAAGGGGCAGCTACTGCCTGGGCCTCTCCCCCTCAGGAGGGAAGGCTGCTGGGCCCACATCTGGAGGGTGGGGAGGACTATCCAGCTGTGGGGTGGGGATCAAGTGGCCTGGATTGAAGTAACTGCCCGCTCCCCAGGCCCTGGCCCTGGCCCTGGCCCTGTCACCTCCCGTTGCAACAGGGAGACACCCATCCCCCAGGCAATGCTGCCCCCCAGCCCTGCCCTCATCCCCAGCCCTGCCCACCTCCAGCTGTCCCTTTCCTGTTGACTTGACCCCCTTCCAGACACAGAAGTACACCAGCACCCAGCAAGCCAGCAGACACAGGGTCCCCTCCCAGTTGAGGGCCCCTGGCAGCTCCAGCCCACCAGAGAGCCGCCAGGCTTTGTTCCTGGGGGAGGGAGAGCCCATGAGGGCTGTGCCAGCAGAGGGCAGAGGGACAGGGAGCTGTCCCAGGAGTGGTGCTCCCCCTCGTGCAGCCCTGCAGTCCAGCTGGTCTCTCCTGGGCCCAGATACCCGCAGACTCGACCCACATGTGGAGCCCAGAGAGAGGCACAGGCAGGCCCGGCCCAGAGGTGCCTGACTCCCTCCCAGAACTCGAAGACAGGGGACTGGTGGTCAGCAGGCTGGTCACAGGTGAGGTTGGCCCAGCTGGCACCGGCCTGGGCTTCGAGGCGCACGCGGCACGCCTGGGCAGGGGCAGGCTTGGCGGGAAACAGTCACGTGTCTGGTGGCCTCAAGGAGGACACCCAGACCACAGCTCTCTTCCCCGGAAACAACCAGGTGGCGGTGTGTTCGCACAGGCGCACTGAGGTTACTTAGCGCTCTATGGGGCGGAGCTTTATGAGGGAGTCCTCATTGGCTAGGCAGGCTACAAGGTCTCTGGGCCGGCTTGGCGGGAACCAGTCGCACTCCGCAGGACTCAAAGCGAGTCTGTTCGCGCAGGCGCACTGGCGATCCCAAGTTGCATTGCGCGCGAAGCGGTGGGACTCGGTGAGAGGGCCTCAGCCGCTGAGCCGCGGGCTGAGAGGGCAGACAGGTTTGAGTTGGACTCTGAGGGGAACAGCGGAGTGGCAGCAGCTATGCAGGCTGCAGACGAAGGTGGCAGTGGTGCGGCTGGTGCAGGGGGTGGCCCCAGCAGCCCTGAAGGCCTGGGTGGCCCTGGAGGCCCTAACAGCCATAGTCTCCCTAGCGTTCTAGAAGGCCAGGGTGGTCCTGTCAGCCCTAGTGGCCCTGGTGGTCCCAGCGACCAAGTTAGCCCTGGGGGCCCTGACAGCCCGAGTGGTCAGCGCGGCCCCGGCGGCCCCCGCGGCCCCAACAGCCAGGGTGGTCCTGGCGGCCCCAGTGGCCGGGGTGGCTCTGGCCTCCCTGACGGCCAGGGTGGCCCTGGTGGCCCGGGCAGCTCTGGAGGCGAGGGGACGGTGGGATCAGCAGCCATAGGTGCTCCCGACGTCGCGCGGGCCGCACATGCTTCAGGGCCAGGTGGAGATGCAGCACCAGTGGATGCAGGACCAGAAAGCCGACAGATGGTCTTGTATCCTTTCCAATGAGCCCCTGGGGCCTGGTGGCCAGGGGATGGGCCAGGGACATCCCACAAGGCCAGGGACAGGTCACAGGGCAGCCGGGTGGAGACAAAAAGGGGAGCAGTGAGGGGAACCTGAGGTAGCTTGCTGGGGGGGAGGGGCGGGGGTGGGCTGGGAGAGTTGACGCCTGAGGGGGCTGGAGGGTGGGGAAACAGGCCTGAAGGAGTGGGGGAGGTGAGACAGGGTGAACCGAGTGAGGAGGGAGGCAGGCAGGCCAGGGTGGCCTGAGCTGGCAGGACTGGGTGTGTGTGTGGGAGGGTGGGGGTGGATGGCCTGAGGGGAAGCTGGGGTGGAGGCCAGCCTCTGAGACGCAAGGAAGTCTCAGACACTGGCAAATTCAGTAGCAGATGATGCCTTAACCGTGTCTCCCCCAGCACACTCACCGTGCCTTTCCGGTCCCCCCTGGAGGCAGAGATGGCCCGCAGGGCCATGGCCCCAGATGCCCAACACCACCGGCAGGCGGTTCAAAAGGAGTTCACAGTGAACGGCAGCGTCCTGGCTGTGTCAGTTCCAGAAGGAGCCAAGACGGGGGTGGCAGCAAGTGCTCAGGGCCTGAGAGCCAATCTCAGCCCAAGGGGCTCTGTGATGGATACGGGGAGACATTCAAGTGTTAGGTCTCAGGAGAGGGTGTGGTGTGCTGGGTGTAAGAGAGAGTCATCACCTTTAACTTGATGTTTACCCCTCACTTTTAGCAGGTGGACTGCTGAAGACCCAGGCCTCCTCCAAATTTCCATCAACTCCTTCCTGGACCAGCTTTCCTTGCTGGTGCAGAACATTCGGTGGTTTGGGCCCCCACCTCCACTAAGCTTAGGCTGAAGAAAGGAGACTGAGGCCTAACCTTGTGTCCCCTACTAAGAAACGCATAGGGAATTGATACCTGGAGTACTTGCCACTTTATTATTGGGTCCTAATTTTTTGCCCTTGCCAGCCCTTGGTATCGCTTGGCCCACTTGTTTTGTTTCCCTCTTGCTGGAGGAAGGGATGATTAAATGTTTGTTACAGCAGAAAATAAAACTGAGCTTCTCTTTTGTGTCTAAGTTTCTTTTCAGCTACTGCACCTTCAGATTTTCTTGCCTTTGTCCTTGTGGGGGGTGGGAGGGGGTTCTGGGATTCGGATATTTCAGTAGTACCAGGTAATTGAAGACAATTTAGGAAAATGAAAATCAAGTCCTTTGTTCACCACTAGATACTGTCAACATTTTGGAATATTTTGTTAGTTGTATTTACACATTAAATGTATAACAACATATAGTGTGTAAGTTTTCAAGTTTAGCAAAAATTTTTTCCTGACTTTTTTTCATTTAACATACTAACTTTCCCGCCTTCTAAAAACCCTTTAAAAAAGGTTATCTCATGCATAAAGTGCATTATAATGTAACCGTGGACAGTTAAATTGTTCTCAATTTTGCCCCTGTCATAGATAATGATCTAATGAAATTCTTGTACAAATGTCTTTGCATGAATGGTTATTTCCTTAAGATAGATTACAAGAGGTAGAATTACTGAGTTAAATATTTTCTTTTCTATTTATTTTCTTAAGCTTCTCTGTCTATAGTCTACAAATGCTCTCCAGAAAATATGCCCTCCAACCAGAATTCTGGTCCCCCCACCCATATCCATGTCACCGCTAGGTTGGGTTCCTGCCAAAATAAAAAACTTATTTTGTATGAGAGAAGTAAACAACACAGAAACACTAGAATAGGAATTCTGTGGCTTACTGGCCTTGTTTCAGATGAGCGAAGAAGTGCTGGGACAATTGGTTAAGTGTTTTGGAGGGGGGCAGCTCTCGCTAAATAGCTTGTATCTTGGAACCTTGCAAAACTTACGAATTAGGTCTAGTAACTTGTAGATTCCATCAGATGTTCTACATAGATAACCATATCTGTAAGTAAAGGCAGTTTTATTTCTTCCTTTACAATTTGGATGCCTTTTATTGGTTAATGTCTCTCCTCATTATGGGGTTGTATTATCCTGCTTCTTTGCATGGCTGGTAATTTTAGATCGGATGCAAAGCATTGTGTATTTTATCTTTGGTGCTGTATATTTTTGTATTCCTAAAAATATTCTTAAGCTTTGTTCTGGGATGCTAATTAAATTATTTGGAAACAGTTTGATTCTCTTGAGTCTTGCTTTTAAGAATCACTCAATGGGACCAGAGCAGCTTTCAGTGTCAGAGTCCTTTTTTTCCCCCGCTCCTGAGGCAAGAGCCTTCTGAGCACCCTGCCCAATCTCCTGAATTATGAGGTTTGCCATTGTGGTTGGGGAGGAAGGGAGCGGGAAACAGCCACTAGTCCCTGTCTTGCTTGAGTGCTGGGCATAGTTACCTTTCATCCTTTTGCAGGGGGGTCCTTTCCCTGGCTTCCCTTGAGTAGTGTCCTCCCACACTTGTGCTCATCAGTGGTCTATGGAATGCTCCAGAGGGACCCCCTGCAGATATGCAGGTTTCTCTCCCTCTGTAGCTCTCTTCTTTCTGGTCCTCTGCCCTGCAATCGCAATCTCCTGGGCATTCAATTCTGTCTCAGCAAGTCATGGATTATGCTGGGCTCCTCCTGGAAACTCTCACAAGACAGTAAGCTGGGGCAATTTCAGGGCTCCTCTCATTTCTTTCCCTTCTCTCAGATCATTGTCCTTGATTACCTGATAGCCAGTGTCTTCAAAACTTTTGTTTCATATGTTTTGTGTGTTTTTGGGGGGTGTTTCAAGTGTTAGGATAAATTCGGTCCCTCTTATTCCATATGCCTGAACGGAGTCTGCCTTTGCAGAACTTGGAGAGTTCTGACGTTGTGGGCTGAAAGGAGAGAAATGTTGTTCATGATGATGATGACAATGAAGATAATGCAAATGATGATAAAGAATCTCACCTGACTAGATGCAGCAGCTGTAATGGCTGGATCTGTTTTTTTCTCTCTCTATCATTCTCTCCCTCTCTTCTTTCTTTCTTTAATTCATCATTTTTAGACATTGATTATTGATGGGTAGATGAGAATTTAGCTCTTTTACACCACTATCTGGCCATTTGTGACAACATGAATGGACCTTGAGGGTATTACACTAAGTGAAATAAGTCAGAGGGAGAAAGTCAAATACAGTATGATCTCTCTCATAAATAGAAGAAAACAACAACAAACAAACACATAGAGACAGATATTGGATTGGTGGTTACCAGAGGGGAAGGGGGGATGGAGGAGGGTAAAAGGAATGATTAGGCACGTGTGTATGGTGATGGATGGTAATTAGTCTTTGGGTGGTGAACATGATGTAATCTACACAGAAATCAAAATATAATGATGTACACTCGAAAAAAAAAAAGAAACTGAAAAAAAAATAAAATGGTTAATTTAAAAAAAGGAAAGAAAGAATGGCTGAGAACTCCCTAAATCTGGGGAAAGATTTAGACATCCAAGTTCATGAAGCTCATAGGCCCCCAAAAAATTGCAACTCAAAGAGATCTTCTCCAAAACACATCATAATAAAACTGTCTAAAATCAAAGACAAAGAGAGAATTTTAAAAGCAGCAAGAGAAAAAAATTCCCTACATACTAGGGAACTCCCATAAGGCTATCAGTGGATTTCTCAGCAGAAACTTTGCAGGCAAGGAGAGAGTGGGATGATATATTCAAAGTGCCAAAAGAAAGAAATTGCCAACCAAGAATACTTTACCTGGAAAAGTTGTCCTTAGAAATGAAGGTGAGATAAAGACCTTCCTGGACAAACAAAAGCTGAGGGAGCTCATCAAAACTAGATCAGTCTTACAAGAAATGCTGAAAAGATTTCTTCAAGCTGAAATAAAAAGATGCTAATTGGTAAAATTAAAACATATAAAAAATATAATACATAGTGGTAAAGGTAAGTATATAGTAAAATTCAGAATACCCTAATACTGTAATAGAGTAGTGCGTTAACCACTTAACTCTAGTATAAAGATTAAAGGACTAAAGTATTAAAAGTAACTATAACTGCAATAATTTGTTATAAATACACAATATAAAAAGATAAATCATGACATCAAAAACATAAACAGTGGGAGGGAGAAGTAAAGTGTTGTGTTTTTGTATGTATTGATGTTAAGTTGTTATCAGCTTAAAGTGAACTGTACTATCGATAAGATGTTTTAAGTAAGCCTCATGGTAACCATAAAGGAAAAGCCTACAGTAGATATACAAAATATAAAGAGAAGGGAATCAGAGCATACCACTATGGAAAATCATCAGAACACAAAGGAAGACAGCAGGAGAGGAAGAAAGGAACACGAGAACTACAAAAGAGCCAGAATACAATTAATAAGATGGCATGAGTAAGTCCTTACATATCAATAATTACTCTAAATGTAACTGGATTGAATTCTCCAATCAAAAGACATAGAGTGGCTGGATGGATAAAGGAACAAGATTCAACTATACGCTGCCTACAAGAGACTCACTTCAGCTTTAAGGACACATATAGGCTCAAAGTGAAGGAATGGAAAAAGATATTCCATGCAAGTGGAAACCAAAAGACAGCAGAGATAACCACACTTACATTAGACCAAATAGACTAGAAGTCAAAAACTATAACAAGAGACCAAGAAGGCCGTTATATAATGATAAAGGGGTCAGTTCATCAAGAGGATAAAACAATTGTAAGTATATTTACACCCAACATTGGAGCACCGAAATACCTTAAGGAAATATTATCAGATCTAAAGGGAGAAATAGACAATACAATAATAGTAGGGGACTTTAATATCCCACTTTCAACAATAGATGGATCATCCAGCTAGAAAATCATTAAGGAAACATTGGACTTGAAGTATACTTTAGATCAAAACGACCTAACAGACTTATACAAAACATTCCATGCAACAGCAACAGAATATACACTCTTCTCAAGTGCACACAGAACATTCTCCAGGATAGGGCATATGTTAGGTCACAAAAGAAGTCTTGGAAAATTTAAGAAGATTGAAATCATACCAAGTATCTTTTCTGACCACAATGATATGAAACTAGAAATAAACAACAAGGGGAAAACTGGAAAATTTACATATATGCGTAAATTAAACAATATACTCCTCAACAACCTACGGGTCAAGAAGAAATTGAAAGGGAAATAAAAAGTATCTTGAAACAAATGAAAATGGAAATACAACATTCCAAAACTTATAGGATGCAGCCAAGTAGTTCTAAGAGGTAAGTTTATAATGATAAATGCCTAATTAAGAGCAAATAAAAATTTCAAATAAAAAACCTTACTTATAATTCAAGGAACTAAAAAAAAGAAAAACAAAGTAAGCCCGAAGTTAGCAGAAGGAAGGAAAAAACAAAGATCAGAGCAGAAATAAATGAAATAGAGACTAGAAAAACAATAGAAAGATCAACGAAACTAAGAGTTAATTTTTTGAAAAGATAAACAAAATTGACAAACCTGTGGCTAGAGTAACCAAGAAGAAAAGAGAGAAGACTCAAATAAATGAAATTATAAAGGAAAGAGATGTTGCAAATGATACCACAGAAATAGAATCATACAGTATGATACACACACATACACAATGGAATATCATTCAGTTAGGAGAAAGAAGGAAATGCTGCCTTTACAACAACATGGATGGATCCTCAGGGCAGTATGCTAAGTGAACCAAGTCAGACAGAGGGAGAGGTACTGTATGATCTCACTTATATGTGGAATCTAACAAGGCGGAACCTGTAGAAACTGAGAGTAGAATAGTAGTTGCCAGGGGCTGGGGGATGGGGGAAATGGGGAGAGGCTGGTCAAAGGGTACAAACTTTCAGTTATAAGACCAATAAGTTCTGGGGAATCTAATATAGAGCGTGTTGACTATAATTAACAATACTGTTATTATATACTTGAAAGTTGCTCAGAGAGTAGATCTTAAATGTTCTTATCACAAAAAAGAAATAGTAATATGAGATGAGGGATGTGTTAATTCATTT